TTTACACTAGCAAAACGAGACAAAAATGCACATATTAAGAGAGAGACAGAGAAAAACATGGATGAACCTTAAAAGAACATCTCAGTATCTGAAGCAACTTGAATCTAAGATCGAGATGATTCTCAAAAGTTCAGGATGAAGTCTTCCTTAGCTGTTTTTAATTTTGCAAAGCATTGTCATGTAGATGATGGTGCAAACTTGTCTCCTGCTGCTCCAACTGTTAGGACTTAAGCAAATCATAGAATCATAGAGTTGGAAGAGATCTCAAGGGTCATCAAATTCAATAGCAATAGAAATAGCAAGTACATTTCTATAATGCTAATCAGTTCTTATCAATTCAACCCTATTCTGCCGTGCAGGAACACACAATCAAATGATTCGGATTACAAGACAAGAGATCCAGACTGAACTTTAGGAGGAATGTCCTGACAATAAGAGCTGTAAAACTGACTCCGACTCTCCTTCATTAGACATTTTTAAACAAAGGTTAGATGAACACCTCTCGGGGTTGCTTAAGCAGTGGGTTCCTACATGAAAAAAGGTTTGTAGAATCATCATCCAGTGAATCATCTTCGGACAATGATTCCACAAACCAGATTTAGGAGAGGAAATGGAGACAAGGCAAAAAGGATAGATAGCTCCATTCCTATCTGGGGCATCCATTTTCCATAAAATCATTGACTCTTGGAGTTTGAAATCTTGGACTCTTGGAGACAGTGACCATCTAATCCAACCCCTCTGCCATGCAGGAGCACATAACTAAAACTCTGTGGAGCCTCCTCAGATCAGGGTAACTAAATAAATCTTAAAAGATGCCCATCCAACTTCTGCTAAAAGATCTCCAAAGATGGAGAGAGTCCACCACCCTCCAAGACAATCTATTTCACTGTTGAACAGCATTAACCATTAAAAAAAAATGCTTTCCCTAATGTTTAGACCATTGTCGTCCCCTGAGGCTGAGAGAGTGTGACCCAGTGGGTGTCTAACCCTGCCCCGCTGAAGAAACTTGTCAAGAAAACCCCATGATAGGTGGCATAAATTGGAAATGACTTGAAGGCACACAACAACAAACAATGGAGCATGGAGCAATAGCAATAGCATTTACATTTCTATATTGCTTCATAGTGAACTCAGCACTCTCTAAGTGGTTTACAATCTGCAAGCCAGTTGGAGAAGTCCACTTTGACAAATTAAACATTGAATTCAATCCTATTAGTCTCTCTCCTGTGGCATGTTGGAGCCACAGATGTCACGTAAAGACTTATCATGGAAGTTGTACATCACATTCCAAAATGCTCGCTGCGACCGGATTACATTCACTTGCACCCACCCTCCTTCACTGTGATTATTGTTCATAATCCAGACCTGTAATATTATATCCCTGGCAAGAATTTGCTCTTCTATGCTTTCCTCTCATTTTACTTGTTTGTGAAATCACATTGGCTCACTGCACACCTCAGCTAATCCAACAAATGGCATAACATTTTGCAAACCTTTCCAAAGTTGGGTTCTTCCGAGCACGTTCGTGGGTATGCTAGCAGCTCCGTCGAAAATCCTAAGTACCTGACTGCAAACCTCCAGGTGTTTTCTCCCCATTTGCACCTGCCTTCTGTTGCTGTTTTGGAAGGAGGAGGTGAGAGATACCCCTATTGAAGTAAGCCAAGGCATTGTCCTGCTAGCGACAATAGAGTTGAGGCCAGACACTGGCTTCTCCTTGCGCAGGACGATGGAAACAACGCACCCCAATCTAAGGAGGCTTCACGGATCCAAGATAATGGTCTCAAGTCACGTCATAAAATGGGATGCTTTTGTGTGTATTCATGTAGGCAGCTACACAACATAACCTGACCTTCTGTTCCCAACGGCACCTTTCACAAAGGAAAGGAATGCTTCAATGAGCTCTTTGTTTTCCCCACCTTCACTCTCCGCTCTTGTTCTCTGTGGAGAGCAATATGCACACATAACATTTTAAAATCCAGAAGAGAAAAAGGAAATGTAGAAACAAAACTGAGCCCTGCCAGATCAGACCCGGAGGTTGTCTGGCATAGCATCTTCCTTCCTATATTGGCCAACAAGATGCCCAAACACAATCTAAGGGGGTGTTCAGAATGAAGGCTATTGCCCACTCCTTTTGTGGTTCCTCAACATGTTGTCTCTGAATATGGAGGGTCCACCTAGTTCCAGGGTGGGCAAACTGTGGCCCTGTGGCCACATCTGGCCCACAAAGCTGTCTCTCTGACCCTTGACTCCTCCAGATTCCCTAGACCAGGGGTAGGCAACCTTTTTGAGCCGGGGGCCGGGTTGCTGTCCCTCAGACAATTGGGGGGGCCGAAGCACCATAAATAAATAAATAAGTAGAAATATATATTTTTTAAAAAAATAAAAAATATATGCATGCACATTCTCTCAGCCCCAGAAAAGCCATGGCAAAACCCCTGTAGAGATTTTGCCAAGAAAAACCCCAAGAACAAGTAATAACAACAATAATCAATATCATCATGGCAGCGGCGGCAGGACCAGCCTGGGGCCAGTCCAAAGGCCTCGGGGGGGCCACATCCGGCCCCCAGGCCTTAGGTTGCCTACCCCTGCCCTAGACTATCCTTTTTCTGACCTCTCCTTTCTCCTCCCACTGAGCTTCACCCCACTCACCCCATCGCTTCGGCATTTTAAAGAGATCCAGGTGAATGACACAGCTTGTTTCTGCCCAAATGCCGAAGTTTGAGGAGCAGTGGTGTCCCCCCTCTTAGGGTGTCACCCGGTGCGGACCGTACCCCCAGCGCACCCCTAATGACGCCACTGGTTATACATAGGATGAAGTTCCCAGCTTTTAAGTTACCCAGAAACTCTCTCACTGCTTCCTATTGAGCTAAATAAATTCCCCTGTTCAAGACAAT